TACATAGCGCATATATTTCTGATCTGGGATTATCAAGTTCTGATTCTGTACAAAATAAAGATGGTATTTGTGGAATTCTACCATATATTGCCCCAGAAATTCTAATGTATCAACCATATACTACAAAATCAGACATTTATTCATTTGGAATAATTATGTGGGAAATCTTATATGGGATGCCTGTGTGTTATGAGCATAAATTTAGTAGACAACAGCTTCAGATAAAAATATGTTGTGATTACTTACGGCCACCAATTAACGAAAAAGCTCCACTATGTTATATAAATCTGATGAAAGAATGTTGGGATAAAAAGCCTGAAAAGCGACCATCAGCCGAAAAGCTCTGTGAAATATTTATGAAATGGCAAAATGACAAAAATATTTATCAGAATTGAAAAAATCAAAAGTAAATATTGAAAATATTGAAAAATCATATACAGGCATGTTTAATGGTGGAAGCAAGTTTATTTCCTTTACTGAATCAATTCCAAGTATTGACAGTGGATTACAAGATTTGAGAATCGATGAGCATTATTCCTGATAGTAATAAAGATAGAATTTTTTTTTTTATAGAGACATGTCTTTTATTCAACGTTATTTTTTATTTAATCGTAGTAAACCACACATTTACGAATATCTAAATTTTGCAAATACAGTACTAAAAATAATAGTATTATATTATCTGTTGGTATTAACGAAATAATTTTCACTACTATCTAATGCCATTGATTATGCAGTTCTAATTCAAATATTGCTAATCAAAATTTAAAGTAAGAGCATTATTTAGCGTTAGTTCAATTTAAAATATTTATTAAATTCAGGAATGGTTCTTGATATTTTATTTATCACAAGTAAATCGACTCACAATTACTTAAAATCATTGATTTAAAATTATTCGGATTTACAACTTTATGCATAGGAAAGGGTTCGATCGGGTTACGGTCAGTTATTCCCCGTTTTACTAATTGTTCATTACAGGGTTTTCGTTATTATTTTTAGGCACAACTTAATTCAAACACAATAGGGAAATAGCCTCCGGCTATCAATGAATGAAACAGGAGCATAACTCATTTATTCCCCACGAAACAGGGAATAAATAGTACTTATTATTGGTCGATTATTTGTAATTTGATTTCATTTTAGAGATTAATTATTAATTGGTTAAAAAAATTATGGTTGTTTAAAACCCGGTTAATAATAAATATAGGAGATTAAAAAAGTCAATTTTCCTTAAAGTTTCTAGTATTTTATTGGTTAATATGTGGGAATTTGGTACACTATGACTAACGTATTGTTTGGTCAATTAGAGAAAAAATTGCAATATTGTGAGTTTATTAGTAAATATATTATATCAAGTAGAATTTATTATGGTGGGATCTGAGCTTTGATTCATTATATCAAGATTTTTCTTAGCCTCTGTTATATCGAGTCCGCTATATCAAGAGTCATTGCGTATTCTATAAATCGCTTTTACCATGTAGAATATCAGGGTTATATAATCATAAAATATCGGAATAGGGCTCGCTCTTAGTAGAACTTATACATTATGATAGAGCTTTAAGTTACAGTATCAGGAAAAATGGTTAATTTTAGTTCTAACAAGGTGTAAGCACTTCTTACCGATAATTAGGGATGGCTAAAAAACGTTTAAACTGTTTTTTTTTTTAAAAAACATTGACGTTTGATTTTAAAATTTTGCTGAAACTGAAAATGTTGTCCCTGACTAGCTAATTTAAATTTTTGGCTGAGAAATTTTTTTAAAAAGTCGGTGCCATATAACTAAAAAAATAATAATAATAATTATAAATTTATATTTGATTGCTTTAAGCTTTATCAATAGCCACTACATTTTTAAATGCGAAATATGCTCACCGGCCAATGCAAACTTTCATTCTAGCAAGTCGAAAATGTGTACTGGCCGGTTAATTAAATAAACTACTGTCATGGTTGAATTTGTTACCCCGGGGTTTCGTGGTGTTGGGTTCGATTAGGATCGGGAATTGCATGAGTGGCGTGATTCGGGTTTGCATAAAAATTAATTAAAAGGTTAAAATAGTGATTGCATGTTCGATGGGAAAGTATGTAATAATCAATGACGTAAATATGTATATTAATATAAGGTATCGATCCCAAATGGGAAAGTGTCTTGCTTCGTTCTGGTAATTACCTTGACACTTAGTGAATAAACTGTTGTCTGTGTGAATACATTATCGATGGTAGTATCTGGTACGATACTCCAGTTATCGTAAATTAGCCAAGCGAGTGAATAGTTCGGTGACAACTACCCTTCATATTTTGTTTATATTTAGCTTATTTCGCTTCATATAAAAAAATAAAAATAATAAATAACAATAATAATGCAAACCGATTCGTTCAACTTGTCTGATTTACCTAGACCACTCCAAAAAATATTTCTAATAATTCTTATAGAATAAAAATTATATTGAATTTGAACCAATGGTTAAATCTGAAAAAATAAATATTGGGCAGCTTAATGTGTATTTATACGTAGACCTTAGCAACAAAAGAGGTGCCTTAAACTGGTTAAACGAATTTCAGGAAATACAAGTCAAACTCGTTATGGTGAAGTGATTGGTTACATTAATAAAAATTTTTTAAAAAATTCACTATATTGAGAGTTTATTAGTAAATTCACTATATCAAGAGAATTTTATATAGACTGGCTTTGGGTCCAACTTCACTATATCGAGATTTTAATTAGTCTTCACTATATCGAGAGTTCACTATAATAAGAGTAATTGTAGCAAAGACCACTATGCGGCTAAGAAAGAACTTGAAAAATCCGAACCTTTATCATCGGGCAAACTGGCTGATTATCTCTATCAATAAAATTCTACCGTAAAAACGAATCATTATGAAGTGGGGCAAAAATTCGAATACAACCAAGCATCAGTCCAACAAAAAAAGCGTAAGATTTCTCAAGAAAATGACGACCCAACTATAATGAAAGCACTCAATAAACATTAACATATGTAAACAAATTTGATACATATTATTATGTGTTGTAATATTTGTGCAAAATACATAATTATTAATGAAAAGAAATATTCTAATTAACTTCGAACATTCATTCCGGACCATCACGTGATCGTCCTGAGCGCAACCTGGTACACATTTTCTATATTAGTTTTATTAGTTTTACATTTGTTAGTATTGAAACCTCAAGTTTTACAATATTATCACTATGCAAACCTCATTGAATAAGTTTTTGCAAATGAATTATTTAAAGAACCTTTTTGAATTTTAGTAATCATAATATTATACATTTAAGGACTATTTTTACGGCATGTATTAAACCATTTTTAACGGATTTAAATAAAACAAACATGATTTTCAAAATCATGTTTTAAAACATTTGCCATCATCTCTACGCAAAAGATGGTTTCCAATTAAAATTTAAAATTATTCTTGTTATTACTGTATATCCAGAACGCGCGATAACTTTTATTTATTTAATTATTAGTACAAAACCGCGACAAGAACGTAACAAATTTACGGTAACCACTGATGTAGCAAGAACGTTACTTTTGCCTATTGGAACTATCCAGCGCAAAAAAACGGACACATGGCTAAAATGGGTATAACTGATAACAAGATAACGATAAATCACGCGCAGATACAAATATATACCGATACTATTGTATATACTATTGTATATAATTAATACAATACTGCATTAAAATAACTATTTTTTTTATTGGTTAAATTTGATATTAATTATTTCAACTTCTACAGTATATTTATTTTTTTTTAAAAATAAAGTTTCACTTTATTTCTAAAACTTTGTTTTCTTGATTTCCATTGCATCATTGCATTTTTTGCGATACGCTCAGCATTTTGATTTTTTTTTGCTTTGCCCCATCCCATCCTTTTCTTCCACTTCCTATTTTGTCCATCAATAGAACGTCCGATTTGGAAACATAGGTGACGTATTTATTTCAAAACTTTTTTACATAATCGTTACTAGTACGTAGATATTTACCTAAAGAAGCTAATTTATAGAAAAATATGGTTTCTTAAAACACCTACTTATTTTCGAAACAAGTTAATTCTGAAACCCTCAAATATACGTACCATTTTTTATTTACTCATAATAATGCCAAAAAAATACACTTCAAATTATACACCGATTGTTATCGCACATTTACGCTAGCCCTAATTTGGACAAATTTTTTGGCTTGTTCGTTATGTTTTATTGTTATAGACATTTATTTCACTTATTACTGTATATGTAATATTATTTCCGACATTTTTTTATTAGTACGTACGTACGTACGAACCAAGGCCAGTTTAACTAGTTTTTCAGAGCAATTAAAATTTACGCCTTCCTACTGGTCATTTCCTGTCAAATCTGTCAAATTATTCTGAAACCAAAATTGCGATAATGATCATCAATACTAATTTTAATCTCATATAAGCTACAAAAGCCACATGAACAAAATCTATCACATATGTAATTATAGTTAGTACGTGTTATATTCTTAGAAAAAAATTCACACCATATCATGATAAAATTATCTCATGTGAGAAATTTTCAAAAGCCAAAATTCCTATTAAATACAATTCATCAAACATTTTTCTTTCACACGCCTCGTCTATGATACTCATTAAATTTATTAATATCATATTATGCTTAAAAGGCACCGCGAGCAATTCTCTCCCGAATAAAACTTTTTTAACGATATCAAAAATTTCTTTCGAGGAAAAAAAAACGGGGAAGTACCTCTTTTTTTTTTTTATTACATTCTATATATATAATTAAAAATAAAAGAGAAACTCACTATTATAAATATTATAAAGAACAAACGAAGACGGATTTGTCAAGAACCTGTATGCACGACTGTTGGCTGTTTATGGGAATGAACTAAACTAATCAAATCCGTCTTGGATGATTGCGTTGCAATCGTTGGCTAACGTGATCATCCAATTTTAAAAGCTTTATATGATGATGTTTTTTTTTCCTGATAAAGCTTACGATCATGACTAGAAAATATCGTAATCCAAAAGAACACTCGCTTATGTTATTAAATGAACACATTAAATTTCTTAATAGATTCAAAAGAAAACTCCCTAATCAATATCACTCGTTAATTAATAAAGAAAAAGAAAAGACCGAAGGACAAATCGTTTTCGTTAATAGAGAATTTACCGCGGACTATGCAAAGACTATTAAAGAACTTGAAAACGAACTAGAAGTTTTTAAGAAACAAATTAGAAGGTAATTATTATTATTATTATTATTATTATTATCGGTTCAATTTTTGCATGCTAATATTAAATCACATACAGTCTCGAAGCCACAATTAGAAAACTCGAAAAAAAAACTGAAAGAAAAGATGAAAGAATCGACCAATTAAAAAACGAAAACGAATATTTACATGATAAAATAAACGACAGAGATAATATTATCCGTATTAAAGATGCAACTATCATGGAAAAAGATGATCAAATTAATGTTTTACAAGTCGATTACGATAAAAGTATAGACAATAGTTTAGATTTAAGCTTTAAGGTATTATACATTATTAAAAAAGAAATTTTGAATTTAAGAAAAAAAAAAAAACCTAATTTAGAATTTATAAAATTATAGCTAGAAGAAGAACGTGCACACAGAGATAAAACTATCGAAGAAAACAACAAATACTATTTCGAAGAAGTCAGGAAAAATAATGAATATGAAAAAAAGATCCGTGACTTGGTATTAAGAAATAGGAACTGTGCTCAATTTCAAATCAAGCAAGCGAACGAATTTACTATAAAAGAACTGAGGCTAAGCAGCGAAATAGAACAACTGAGACGAGAAAACGAAACATATAAATCACAACGATGATTTTTTTTTCTTATTTTTTTTTCAAATATTATTTAATATTTATATATTGCAAAAGAATATTAACATTCTTCAATACTATCATTCTTATCCTATCATTTATCATTTTATCATTTTTTCATTTTTATTATTAAATTCAACCATTTTAATAAAAAAATATGCATATCCATGATATTGAAAATAATAAATAAATTTTAATGATAATAGTACAAATCAGTATTATATATACGCAAGTAAAAAATGAAATAACAGAAATTAAATAAAGGAAAATTTCAACATAAAAATTTCTTTTTTCATAATCCATTATACAAATAATTATTGTTCGTTATAACATTGATACGCTAACGTAAATTTTCGGATCATTCTTACTCATTAAGTTATAATACTTATGTTCGCTTACCTTCAAAAATCGGAGCACCTTTTTACAATATTCTGAGAAAAAAAAAATTCCAATTCACCAGATTGGTGGCACATTAATCAGATACAATGATCTCTTTAATTTCAGTATGTACAGTGCGTTCATAAAATTTCTTTTTGAATGAAAATATCCACAATGTGCTTCGTCAAACGTTCTATACTTTGAATGACTTCTATTTTTCTTTTGTTAATTGAAGATATAGCAGAAATATGAATATAATCGACTCTCTATACAGAATTATTATAATTTTTAAAATTTTTAGTTCATTCATTATAAAGGGAATTGATCGTACTTAATACGTATGTAAATGGAGTATATTACAGTAATTTCGAAGTGTGTAAGATTAACGAAGTTTATAAAATTTAGTTTGAAAAGTGAACATCTTTAACAATAAGGAACACTCTATTATTCTTTTTTAAGGTACGATTCAGCGCAGATTATAAGAAAAACTAAAGAATTTTTTTATAAATATAATACGTGTTTAATAGCTAACATATTTGTGGTTATTTGACTTTGACGAATTGTCATCATTTTAGTCTTAAAAATTTTGAAAATTATAACTTATAAACATTATAAAAGTAAAAGAATACAAAAATTTTTTGAATTCAAAACAATAATATTAGAAGCTAAAGGTTACGAAAAAAAATGATGGGAAACGTACTTCTTTAAAATAGAAATAACATTGAATTCGAGTAGAATGACGTTAAAAAATGATGTTTTTGTTTTCGTTCTATTAAAACATAATTTAAATAGTTACGTATTATTAGAATTTTGCAAATTACTTGGGCTGATTAATGGCCACCAACCTGAAAAAATACACAATGACGTATTTCCTTTTACAAGAATTTAGTCCTATATTTGAAAAGCTTTATCAGATGTCATTGAACGTGCTAAAATCGATAACATCTGTTTTACGAACCTATTATCATTTTTCATTGGAAGAAACGAAACTCTTAGATTATTATTATTATTTAAAATTTTGTTTAAATCTACATATTAACCATGGAAAAAGTTTTATTGGCTCAATTCTACCTTTTAAATCACATCAGTACTTTCTTTACAATCTTAAACTATACTCAAATAAATTTGTAAAATTTTTTCTTTCATTATTAGATTCGTAAAGAAATCTAAAGATAATATTAGTACTTGTTAATACCGGAACCCAAACTTCTATTGAAACACTTTACCATTAAAAAAAAATTATTATATCATAAGTATGATCAAAATTCTAAATATACATTATAATAGAATATTAAATTTCGAATAATAAAATTTCAATAAAAACCTGTCTACATCGTCCTTTCCATGATGTTGACTTCTCTTTTGCAATAGAAGAATATAATTTCATTATTTTCACAATTCATATTTTCATTTAATTCAATGTAAGTATAGTCAGTAAAGTTTTCATGTTCGCGCTTTACTTCTTTTTTGAAGTTCATAAACTAACAAAATATTTCAGTAACAAGTTTTTCACTCACAATCGCCGGTTCATAAATTTTTTTCTAACTTTAAGAGCTAAAACATGAATTCAAATAGTCGTGTTCAAGTTTCTTATTTTTTCGTTAAAAGAATCTTTGTCATTATTGTTTTTTTTTTAAAAAAAGAACGCGAAAATTGATAAAGGGTAGGGTGTGCCGTAATTACGTAATTTCTTATTTTTAGTAGACTAATCCCTAGGTGATATAATCAGTGGCCAATAATATCATTTATATACAATATATAGACATGATAATTACTAATTCTCCCCTCCCTAAAAAAATTATGTAATAAACGGCACTCTCTTAAGCTAAGATCTAACTATATTCATTCAAAAAAACAAGATATTTTAAACTCTATGACTAGAATGCTAGAATTACTTTGCCGATCGGTGAAATAAGTTATCTATGAAATTTATAAAACGAACTTGAATCTTTGAATCGATTGTTTGTAAAATAAAGGTCATAAATAAGACGCATATAAAATAAAATGTTTACAAAGTGAGCTGCATCGATAAAAAAGCATCATATACTAAATTATTATTATACAGTGTAACATAAAATGCAATTAGATCAGTTTTAGAAGTATCTTTCCTTTATGAAATTCTTCTATGACTTCTCTAATACAATATGTACTATAAATTATTAATTGAATATTTGTAATTGTATTTTTTCACTAATGCAAATCCTTTTCAGCTGCAATTATGCAATAATATCTAATTGTAGTTACAGTCTTAATCACTTATAATTCAAAAACAAGATTCAAGAATTTATTGAAAACGTTTGTTTATATTATTTATGAATGCTTTATTTTGCTAAATTATAGTAGAGGTAAAAAATATTATTCATAATTTAATGAGTGAGATTAAAAAATAATTAGGTGAAGTTATTCAAGTTCATAATAATTTATCAATTTTATTTGTTATCTAGCAATAAAATTTTTTGTAAATATCTAAATTTTAATACAATATTAAATTGATTTTAAATAATATCTTCAATTTCACTTAAGAAATTTTATACTGTTAAAAAATTATTCAATCTAAACATTAAAATAAAGTGAATAATAAATTTTATATATATATATAAACAAGTTTAACAATATAGTACTTACGGTAGAAATATCAACAGACTCAATAGATTTACTTATTGATGACAATACTGATTTGAAAATATTAAAATATATTTTAATTATTTATTGCATAATATTTGTTTTCAAATATATTTGTTTTCAAATAATTTTTTAAATAATACCTTTAATTGCATTGGCAATCTTTTGTGTGCTAATAATTTTGCTAGTGTACATATGATCTGGATGATTTTGAGGAATTGTTGGTAATGTTTTAATGATTTGATCTGCATTTAAGAACTGTTTTTTGATTTCATTTTCATCATCTAAAGCTAACTCATTAAGCCAATCACAAATTTTTTTACGAATAACATTTGCATCAGGCCGTTCTTGTGGATCTGAACTCATACATTTCTTCGCCAATTCGACATAGCAGCCAGGAGTTCCAGAAGCAAATTCTGGACGCAAACCAGTATAAATCTTTACAGCAAGTTCTTCATTAAATTGATAACCGTCAAAAGGCCTTTGTCCGGTTGACATTTCTACCATAATAATACCAAATCC